CCCCCCCCGGATCCCTCTGGGTCCCCCTGGATCACTTTGGATCCTTTTGGATCCCTCTGGATCCCTCTGGAGCCTTCTGGACCCCCCTGGATCCCTCTGGGTCCCCCTGGATCACTTCGGATCCCTCTGGATCCTTTTGGGTCCCTCTGGATCCCTCTGGATTCCCCTGGATCCCCCTGGATCCCTCTGGATCGCTTCGGATCCCCCTGGACCCCCCTGGATCCCCCTGGACCCCCCTGGATCCCTCTGGATCCCCTTGGATCCCTCGGGATCCTTTTGGGCCCCTCTGGATCCCCCCGGATCCCTCTGGATTCCCCTGGACCCCCCTGGATCCCCCGGCAGCGCCGTTCCCCGGCCGGGTCCATCGGGAACGGCTCCTCCGAGGGGGCTCGGTGCCCTCAGCTTCCCACAATTCCCGAATTTTTCCCCTTTCCCTGTCCTCCAATTCCCACAATTCCCGAATTTTCCCTTTTCCCAGGCCTCGATTTCCCAGAATTCCCTGGATTTTCCCCTTCTCCCCCCTCAATTTCCCAGAATTCCCCAAATTTCCCCTTTCCAGGCCTCGATTTCCCAGAATTCCCCATTTTTTCCCTTCTCCCCCCTCATTTCCCCACAATTCCCAATTTTCCCTCCCTTAAATTTCCCGGAATTCCCAAAATTTTCCCTTCTCCACCCTCAATTTCCCACAATTCCCTGAATTTCCCTTTTTCCAGCCCTCAAATTCCCAGAATTCCCAAATTTTTCCCTCCTTTGCCCTCAAATTCCCACAATTCCCTGAATTTTCCCCTTTTTCAGGCCTCAAATTCCTGGAATTCCCAAAAATTCCCTTTCCCTGCCCTTAAATTCCCAAAAATCCCAAAATTTTCCCTTCTCCACCCTCAATTCCCTGAATTTTCCGCTTTTCCAGCCTCAAATTCCCAGAATTCCCAAATTTTCCTTAAAATTCCCCAGAATCCCCTAACTTTTCCTCCTTAAATTTCCCAGAATTCCCAAATTTTTTTATGGAAAAATGGAGAAAATTCAGGGATTTTTTGGGAAAAGTGGAGGAAATTCCAGGATTTTCATGGAAAAATGGGAAAAATTCCAGGATTTTTATGGAAAATTGAAGAAATTCCAGGAAAAATGAGGAAAATTCAGGGATTTTCATGGAAAAATGGAGAAAATTCCACGAAAAATGGAGAAAATTCCAGGATTTTTGTGGAAAAATGAGGAAATTCCAGGAAAAGTGGAGGAAATTCCAGAATTTTTAGGGAAAAATAGGGAAAATCCAGGATTTTTTTGTGGAAAAATGGAGAAAATTCAGGGATTTTTTTGGGGAAAATGGAGGAAATTCCAGGATTTTCATGGAAAAATGGGTGAAAATCCAGGATTTTTAGGGAAAATTGAAGAAATTCCAGGAAAAATGGGGAAAATCCAGGGATTTTTAGAGAAAAAATGGGGAAAATTCCAGGATTTTTAGGGAAAATGGGGAAAATTCCAGGAAAAATGGGGAAAATTCAAGGATTTTCATGGGAAAATGGGGAAAATTCCAGGAAAAGTGGAGGAAATTCCCGGATTTTCATGGAAAAATGGGTGAAAATTCCAGGATTTTTAGGGAAAATGGAGGAAATTCCAGGAAAAGTGGAGGAAATTCCAGGATTTTTAGGGAAAAATGGGGGAAAATCCTGGATTTTTAGGGAAAATTGAAGAAATTCCAGGAAAAATGGGGAAAATCCAGGGATTTTTAGAGGAAAAATGGGGAAAATTCCAGGAAAAGTGGAGGAATTTCCTGGATTTTCATGGAAAAATGGAAGAAATTCCTGGATTTTTTGGGAAAAATGAGGAAAATTCCAGGATTTTTAGGGAAAAATGGGGAAAAAATCCAGTATTTTTAGGGAAAAATGGAAGAAATTCCAGGATTTTTGTGGAAAAATGGGGAAAATTCCAGGATTTTTAGGGAAAAATGGAGGAAAATCCAGGAAAAGTGGAGGAATTTCCTGGATTTTCATGGAAAAATGGAAGAAATTCCAGGATTTTTTGGGAAAAATGGAAGAAATTCCAGGATTTTTGTGGAAAAATGAGGAAATTCCAGGAAAAGTGGAGGAAATTCCAGAATTTTTAGGGAAAAATAGGGAAAATCCAGGATTTTTTTGTGGAAAAATGGAGAACATCCAGGGATTTTTTAGAGGAAAAATGGAGAAAATTCCAGGAAAAGTGGAGGAAATTCCAGGATTTTAATGGAAAAATGGAAGAAATTCCTGGATTTTTTTGGGAAAAATGAGGAAAATTCCTGAATTTAGGGTGGAAATGGAGGAAATTCCAGGAAAAATGAGGAAAATTCCGGGATTTTTTGGGAAAAGTGGAGGAAATTCCAGGATTTTCATGGAAAAATGGGAAAAAATCCAGGATTTTTAGGGAAAAATGGAGGAAATTCCAGGAAAAATGGAGGAAATTCCTGGATTTTTTGTGGAAAACTGGAGGAAATCTGGGAATTTTTAGGGAAAAATGGAGAAAGCTCAGGGAATTTTTCTGGGAAAAAAAAATCCAGAGATTTTCCTGGAAAAATTGAGCAAATCCAGGAATTTTCCTGAAAAATGGAGAAAATCCAGGGATTATTCTGGAAAAATGGAGCAAATCCGGGATTTTTCATGGAGAAACTGAGAAAATTCAGGAATTTTCATGGAAAAATGGCGAAAATTTGGGAATTTTCTTGGAAAAATGGAGAAAATCTGGGATTTTTCTTGGAAAAAAGGAGGAAAATTTGGGAATTTTCCTGGAAAAATGGAGAAAATCCAGGAATTTTTATGGAAAAATGGGGAAATCTTGGAATTTTCATGGAAAAATGGAGAAAATCTGGGACTTTCCTGGAAAAATTGAGAAAATCCAGGAATTTTTATGGAAAAATGGCGAAAATTTGGGAATTTTCTTGGAAAAATGGAGAAAATCTGGGATTTTTCTTGGAAAAAAGGAGGAAAATTTGGGAATTTTCCTGGAAAAATGGAGAAAATCCAGGAATTTTTATGGAAAAATGGGGAAATCTTGGAATTTTCATGGAAAAATGGAGAAAATCTGGGACTTTCCTGGAAAAATTGAGAAAATCCAGGAATTTTTATGGAAAAAAGGAGAAAATTTGGGAATTTTCATGGAAAAATGGAGAAAATTCAGGAATTTTCATGGAAAAATGGAGAAAATCCAGGAATTTTCATGGAAAAAATTGAGAAAAATCAGGAATTTTCATGGAAAAATTGAGAAAATCCAGGAATTTTTATGGAAAAATGGAGCAAATCCGGGATTTTCCTGGAAAAATGAAGAAAATCGGGGATTTTTCATGGAAAAACTGGAAAAATCCAGGAATTTTCATGGAAAACTGGAGAAAATC